CCCTCACAAGATCTGCCCGTTGGAGTGCAATAAAAGGGATTTTCGGAACTTCCGAAACAATTTTCGGAACTTCCGAAAATTCCAGATCTGAGAAAAATCGAAGTCAACGCCCATTTTCGGAACTTCCGAAAATACTTCCGAAAGTACTTCCGAAAATTTCCAGAACGCTTCTGTGTATTTTCGAAACTTCCAAAAATCATTTTCGGAACTTCTGAAAATTTCCAGAAAGCTCTCAAACGGTTCTGTGTATTTTCGGAACTTCCGAAAATGATTTTTGGAACTTCCGAAAATTTCCAGAACGCTCAAACACGGTTCTGTGTATTTTCGGAACTTCCGAAAACTATTTTCGAAACTTCTGAAAATTTCTAGAACACTCAAACACAATTCTGTGTATTTTCGGAACTTCCGAAAACTATTTTCGGAACTTCCGAAAACTATTTTCGGACCTTCCAAAAATTTCCAGAACACTCCAAAAGAGAAATGCTTCGAAGAAAAATTGATTTTGAGCACACGCATCACTCCTTATATGTCTATGCATCATCCCCCTTAATAGTACGGCTTTCCTACGACACAATGCGAGGAAAAAGATACAATATACCATTTGATCATTGCCGCATTGCATCGCGATGTCGCATTCACGGGATATGCATTGTATTACAACATGTTGAGGACTTAACAACCTTCACATTTGCTTGAATAAAAATGTTAGTCCTCTCTAATCGCATTGTAATCAATCATCAAAATCATTAGGGGCCTAGATGCACTTTCAATTAGTATAGCCACTGGTCTCAATTTGACAAAATTGCTTCCTAGAAAGCATCTAAAAAAGACAGAAATGTTTGTATAGGTTATTTAATTACATCGAGTCCAGTTATAAGAGTTGCTATCCTGTTGCATGTAACTTACTTCCAAACTGTACTGGCTTACTTCAAAACATATAAATGTTACTCCCTCTAAAACATGCAAGTAATTTTCTATACCACAGATGTAATTGTCTGACAAAATTACTCCTCTGAAAAAAATAAAAGCTTTACTTTCATGTGATGTGCAAGTTACTTCTCCCCCCAATTACTGAATTACCTCAATGAATGCTCTGTATAAACTTACTAATAGTCTGAAACACATGCAGCAAAAATGGATTTTGACCTCAACAGTATCCCGGAATTAGTTTCTGGTGAAAATGAACATCCACTACATCATTTACTAATTGATGATGAAGACAGAAGTGAAACATAATTCCCTGTAAATCCAACTGACACTAGCATGGAGATTCCTACTATAAATTTGGACAACACTTTTGACTTTGAAACTATGTATACTGCTGATGATGCTGGAAGTTTACGAGCACACAATGTAGCCAATGATGAGATGCAAGTATTTGCAACCAATGATCAGATGCAAGTATTTGAAGCCAATGATGAGATGCAGGTATTTGCAACCAATGATCAGATGCAAGTATTTGAAGCCAATGATGAGATGCAACTATTTGAAGAAATGTCAGATCATGCAGACACAATGCATACTAGTGTTGCAACTGGCGCAACAACTGCTACTGCCAACACAATTTCAAGTGAACACTCTGGCACAGATGATTCAGAAGCACAGTCAGCGCCATCACAGGATTTTTTGTGCAGCACACAAGTGCCATACCTCACCTTGACTTTCAACTCAGAGGAGGAAGCAAGGGCTCACTATAACAGGTATGCAAAGTGCGTTGGATTTTCAATCAAAATCAACACTTCAAGGAAGTCAGCCAAAGATGGAGAACGTGACAAAGTAATGTTTGTTTGCAACAAATGTGGTCCAGAAGAAAAAACGGGTGAAGCGTTATCACATCCTGATTTTTGTTTCAGGATTTATAAATTATTTAATAAATTATTAATAGAATTTATATTAAATGTTCTTTAATTTACAAGTGAAGTTAAATGTGGGAAATAAAATTTCCTAAATATAAAGCATGGATGGATTTAATTTTTATTAAATTCTCCATGATTAAGTCAACTCTCTAAAATTTTCTCGGATTTTTCAGACCTCAATTCCTAAATGATACAAAGAACAGTTCAATAATTATTTTATCATTAATTATAATTGTTAAGTGCTTTTCTTGTTTAAAAATCCTTAAATTATAAATTTTTGTTTAAAAGGAATTATTAGAAATGATTTTAAAAGCCTAAAAGAGAAGATCTAATTTTAATTTGTTAAATCTCAATATAAAATTGGGCTAGATAAAATTTTGTTAAATACTTTGCTTAATTCTATAATTCCTAGATTTTTCTGGGATTTATTTGAGCCAAGGAAGTATTTTTAATAAATGGAATTGCATTTCATGAATAATGTAAATTGAAAAAGGTTTTTAAAAGTCTTCTTTTGGCTTTGGGCCGAAAGTCGGCCCAAAACCTCTCTTCTCTCTCTCCCTCGGCCCAAGTCGGCCCAGTCCGCCGAGCTGCCGCTCTCCTCTCTCTCTCTGTCGCTGACAGGTGGGTCCCACCTGTCAGGTTCGTCTTCCTCGCGCCGCCGCCGCTGCCCGGAACCCTAGCCGAGTCGCGCTGCTGCCGCTTTCCAATCCGCTCGATCCTTTCCTTCTCCGGTGAAATTGATAGAGGGGAAATGATCTTCTCGATCTCCTCCACCTTTTCTCTTTTGGAATCACCGGCTAAAATCGTTTGGAAATTCGTGGATTCGAGGTCGATTCGGATCGGTCTCTTTCCTCCAAACCCCGACCTTTCCTTCTCGTCGCCGGCAGCCGTGGGCCTTCGCCGCCGCCTCCTTGCCCCTATAAAAGGATCCCCTGTGTCTCCTCTACCCGTCGCCACCCTCGCCTTCGTCTCTCGCCGTCGGAAGCGCCCTAGCGCCGTGAGATCTTGTGCCGCCGTCGTCGCCGTCGCTCCAGCCGTGCGCCGCCGCCGTTCCGGTCGTCGTCGTCGCTCGGGGAGGTCGCCATCGTGGTCGCCAAGTCGTCGCCGTCCTCGTCCGCCGCTTCGCCGCCGCCGAAGACCGCCGGAGCACCGCCGTCACCGTCGACCCGAAGACCGCCGCCGTTTCTTCCTCGTCGCCGGCGCCGTCCGTTGCTCCTCCGCCGCTTCATTGGTCACCGGTGAGTTTGCCGCAATGCCCGCATCGTCCTGGTGCCCTCCGTTCGCGTCGCCGCGCCGTCGTTCGCCGGCGAGCATGCGTTGCCGAGCCGCCGCCGGTGCTGACGTCATCGTTGCCGTTCCCGGTGGCCCGGTCGTGGACCGATCGATCTCGGCCGTCCGTTTTGGATGGATCGATCTCGGCCGTCCGTTCTCGTGAACCGCCGCCGTGCACCCGGTCCACCGCAAACCCTAGCCGCTGACGCAATAATCCTCTTTTTCTTTTCAAAAATAATTCATTATTGCGTCATAATTCAATTAAAATCCATATAAATGCTTTAATCCGGTTTAATCTTTAAAAATACATAACTAATTCATTGTAACTCAGTTTAATGTGGTTCAAGTTGCAAAAGTTATATAAAATAAAGATCTACATTTTAAAATTGTCCATAAATTGAATTAAATTTATTTAATTCTTTTTAAATGGGCTTTAAATAGATTTAATCTTGTAAAATTCATAATAAATTCATTTGAAGTCAGAATGAGGCCGTTCAAGACTCATAATTCATCTAAAATTATGATCTACATGTTTGTTTACTTTTTATGTATTGTTTATTTGGTTTTTATTAGTCTTTTCCTTGTTTTGCGTGTTAGCTTGTCGTTTCCGTCGTTGCGAAGGTTCGCGAGTGCGTCGGAAGTGTTCAAGAAGATTAATTGAAGACCGATTATTGCAAGGCAAGTCACACAGATCCTAAACACAATCCTTTGAGCATGTTGATCCTATATTTAAATTCTCTATTTATTTCAACTGTGCATTTATTTTCGAATGTCACTGGGTGGAGTGAATCTATTCCTTTGTTATGGGCTGTTTGCATTGATTACTTTATTCCTTGATACCTTGGGTTTTTATAACTTGACTAGTTGAGCTTTACATATTGGTTCAGCTAGATATTAGATGTGATTGCTTAGCCATGCTTAGAAACATTAGCACACTATTGGGATAACTTATGACGCATTATTATTTAATGATGGCTTAATGATAGTTCACGATGGTTAATCGTGATTGGTTAATTAATTACTTGCCAACTAAAACTTGATAATGGTGGGTTGTGAGCACATGGTTTTGAGAGTCGTGCTCATGAAAATTAAGGACCGGTTCGCGAGCTACTGTTGTGAAACTTTAACCGTGCCAACCACAAGCCAGCGTGGGCAACGGCTTTATCTTTTGTATAGCATGATTCATTGCGGAGCACCAGACTGAGAAGTGGCGGAGATAAGCCCACGGGGGTCGCTGGGGAGTCCATGCCTCTGGTTTTTGAGGGGGTGATTATGATCCAGGAACGGTGCACTGTTTTGAGTTGTGTTGTGCAAAGGGTATTGTCACGATTTCCCCCTTTGCAGTGCCGTGGTGGTACTTCGGGGCATGGCAACATGTGTGGAATCGTGTCTTGTGGGTACAGTGGTACACCTCTGGCCAGAGTAAAACTATTCGAATAGCCGTGCCCGCGGTTATGGGCGAGTTGAGCAATGTTTTTCGTGATTAGTCTCACACCTCTCACAATAATTATGGATGTTATACCTGGTAATAATTTGCTTAGCTCCTGGTTTGGAGATTAGATCTGTACAGCCGGGTATGGTTGTTCAGGATGGTTGGGCCTGTGCAGCATGGGTGTGCTGTTCAGTGTTGATTAAAATTTCTGATTAATTACTCCACTGTTTTACTTCTCTTAAATGTTTTGCTAAATGCTGCTTTTGCAAATGAGCCTATATTATGCCATCCTTTGGTATCCTCGTGCACTTGCATATTTGCTGTGTGGCTTGTTGAGTATGTCATATGCTCATTCTTGCACTAATCAATCAACCTCAGTTAAAGAAAAAGAATCCAGAAGGAGAAGACGTTTGGCTTATACCCCAGTTGAGCTGCCTGTGGGAGTGGAGCCGGAGCTTCGCTAGATTTTATTTTCCGCTGCAGTTTTCTTCATGGTGAGGACTAAGTGCCTCTTAAGTAAGTATTTATCGTTTTAGTTAATTTGATGAATCTGTATATTAAATTGTCAGTTTGTGTACCTCGGCTGATTCCTGGACGAGGATTTTATGCACAAATAAGTTCGGAAATTACTAGTGAATTTTCGGGCGTGACAAGCGTGCCCTCCAAAGAAAAGGAAAAGAAGTAAAACAAGACAGGCTGCCTGCAAAGTAAGGATGACAGTGAAGAGGAAAGGAACTAGGTGGGAAGTAATTCAGTTTGTTGAAGAACACACACATCCTCTGGTTAGAAAGTTTTCACTTAAGAAATTTCTAAGGTCACATAGAGCAATACCGAAAAAGGAAAAAGATTTCATCACAATGTTGCACGGAGTTAATCTCTCAACTGGTAGAATTATGCAATTGATGTCAGAATTGTATGGAGGGGCTAGGAATGTACCCTACACTAGAAAAGACATAAGCAATTTCAAGTCAAAGATGGGGAGCAAGTATAGGTGTAGAGATATGCCTCAAACAATTGCTCACTTCGAGGAAATCAAAAAGGATGACCCAAATTTCTTCTACAAGATTCAACTTAATAAGGAAGACAGGGTGCAGAACATATTTTGGGTTGATGGAGCAGCAAGAAATGCCTACAAAGACTACAAAGATTGCATCTCGTTTGACTGCACATACATGACGAACATGTATAACATGCCTTGTGCACCATTCATTGGGATAAACAGACATGGGCAATCAATTCAGGTACTCCTTGTTTTGCAAAAAAAGTAAATCTAAAAAATCTGTAATAACTTTGTACATTATAGTACACCTTAAGTTAGTTGTTGGATTCATTGAGTTACATCAAGTCCTGATAAAAGTTACTTCCAGTAGCATGTGAAGTTACATTTTTTTCTAAAAAAAAGAAAAAAAAGTAACTAAGTTTACAAGTTACATCTTTTAGTGTCTGTTCTATAGTTCAAAATTGTACTGATTTACTTCCAGCAAAAACAAACTGTACAGACTATGCAAATTGTAGTAACTTACTTCCAAACTATGATGACTTCCTTATGTGTATTTTTTTTTTGGATATTTAGCTGGGTTGTGGATTTCTAAGGAATGAAAAGACAGAAACCTTTGTATGGTTGTTTCAAGCATTTCTAGAGGCTATGGAAGGTGTAGAGCCCACAAACATAATAACTGGTGAAGACTTAGCTATGAAGGCAGCTATAGCACGGCACCCCTGTCATGGTGGTTCTGAAGTGTGATGTGAGATAAGGTGAAGGGATGTGGATTGGTTTATGACATCAGAAATCTAAAATGGACCTAACCTATATGTAATATAACCCATTGTGATCCCAGGGGCGCCAGGACTCTCCTCACCGCCGGCTTGAGGTGGTGTGTTGTGCCAAGGGTGCAATGGAGGTACATAGTCCTTGGAGCGGGTGCCGAAACGCGAGGGTGACTGAAATACCGGATCGTGGAAAGTCTCATGTGTTGGGACTAGGCTCATGTGTTGGGCAAGTCGCGGAGTGTGGGATTAAAAGCGTACATCCACTGCAGTGTGAGTAAATCAAATATATTCGAATAGCCGTGCTCGCGGTTATTGAGCGCCGGGACTTGTACTACACTTGACTAGTCTCATAGATTTTAATCTTGCTTAGATTAAGTGGTGTGATCTTGCCCGATGGGCAGGAAGGTCATGATGATGATGTTGGGAATATGGAAAACTAGATGCGAGGGTAAACCGGACCAAACGAGGCTTGGGGAAGGTGGATGAACCCTTGCGGATTAATGATAACTTCAACTTATCGTTGTTTTCAGTTAAAACTGCTCAGTCATAGGTTTGTGAAATGATTTATGAAATCTTGCTTTATGCAAATAAACCAAGCCATCCTTGAACCTCTGTGTGCACTAAATGCATTCTGTAGTGGTGGCTTGCTGAGTACGGTTGGTACTCACCCTTGCTTAACTAAATCTTTTAGAAAGGAGTTGGAGTCGACCATACGGGAACAATGTTGATGAAGAGATATCGAAGCCGGTGGAGTCGGGACCTAGGTTCACCAGTCGATGCTTGTGGAGTACGTTGGACCGCCGCTGCTTCGCTTCCGCTATCTCATCTACTTCTTTTGGTATTTTGCAAAGTACATGACCATGCTCGGTCTATTTGGATCCCATTTGGGCTACCCTTGTACTATTAATGTATAGTTCAAACTATATAACGATGTCAGCTTGTGATATACAACTGTGCCATATGTGTACCATCTACTGATCTAGGAAATGGTATTGTAAGACACATGGGGTTTCTGGTGTGTAAAGCCGGGGGCCCACAAACCTTGAGACCCGATGAAACAGTCCCGGACTCGGACTCTACAGGTCAGACTGGCCACACACCGCCGGTCTGACCGGCCCACTTTCGGCGGTCAGACCGGCCTATACACCGCAGTCAGACCGGTCCAACTAGAGGAAAACCGTCAGACATCCAAACTTTGGCAATTTTCCATATTTTATCCCTGGGTGCCGAATTTGGGTGTGAATCTAAAACCATAGAACATGTTTTGGTGAATGGCGTGAATCTAAAACCATAGAACATGTTTTGGTCTTAGGGTGATAATCCAATTACTGGCCATAGAACCTCCTAAGTGTCTTGCCAAACACTCGGGAAGTATTTCTTCAAGTATTTTCTGTTGATTGCTCGCTGAAAACGCTCTGCTTGAAGTGTCTCTAAAAATATGTGTTCCCTCGAACAATGTCGCATACTCGAAAAGGACCCTCCCAACTAGGAGACCACTTACCAAACTCCCTGGATCGAGTACCCAAAGGCAAAATTGTCTTCCAAACCAATTCTCCAACTTGAAACAACTTTGCTTTCACCCTTTTGTTGTATGCCTTGGCCATCCTCTTCTTCTCTTTCTCTATCTCTTCCAAAGCCTTCAAACGCTTGTCGATGACTTCATCAAGATTGTCTCCCATCAAATTCTTGTAATCTTCACTTGATAAATCATCTTGCTTGATATACCGAAGAGAGCCAAGATTTACCTTAACCGGCAAAACAGCTTCTTGACTATAAACCAATTCAAAAGGAGTGACTTTAGTGGCACCATGTTTAGATATCCTATGCGCCCACAATGCTTCAGAAAGCACTTCATGCCACTTCTTTGGGTGTTCCTCAATCTTCTTTTTGACTATCTTCGACAACGTCTTGTTACTCGACTCGGCTTGTCCATTAGCCTGAGCGTAGTAAGGAGAAGAACTCAACAATGTTATACCATAAAATTCGGCAAAACTCTTCACTTCCTTAGACATAAAAGAAGCTCCTTGATTCGTAGTCAATGTTTGCGGGATACCGAATCTATGGATAATAAGCTTCAAAATAAAGACAATTACCTCCGTATGAATCATATTCTTGAGCGGCACGGCTTGGGCCCACTTGGTGAAGTAATCCGTTGCAACTACAACGAACCTATGCCCCTTTGATGACGAAGGATAAATTTGACCAATGAAATCCATAGCCCAACCTCGGAACGGCCATGGTTTGATAGTAGGATTCACACGGCGGCAGGCACCAATTGAACATTGCCGAACCGTTGACAAGCCTCACATCCCCTATAATATTTGAAACAATCTTCAATCATCCTCGGCCAATAGAACCCCGCTCTTCTAAGCAACCAATTCATCTTATGGGCCGATTGATGAGTTCCATAAATTCCTTCATGCACCTCTCCCATAGCCACTTTAGATTGATCATTATCTAAGCACTTCAACTGCACCCCATCTATATTTCGGCGATATAAATCCTCATCAAGCAATGTATATTTAAACATTTGCCGCCAAATCTTCCGATCAACCTTAAGTGTAGGGTCTTTCAAATATTTAATCAAAGGAATTCTCCAATCCTCTTCTGTATCCTGGGCACAAATGTCCGAAATTACAATTAGTTCGGCCTTTGAATCAATCGGGACGTGCCCCCCAACCTTCTGTCTAGAATCGGTCAGACCGGCGGCATACGGCCGGTCAGACCGCCCGGGTTGGCCGGTCAGACCGGCGGCATACGGCCGGTCAGACCACCCCTAGTCACCGGTCAGACCAGCCGTGCAACGCAGGTTAGACCGCCCCCGGTCTGCATTTTTGCCAATTTCACCCAAAGGTTTGAAATCAAGCACCGGTTCTTCTAATATAAAAAATACTCCCTTCTTCACATTATAACCATATGCTTGCCATGCTAAATGATGTGACCATGGCTATCATTGATAAAACCATTGCTCACATCATGGATAAACAAGATGATAACAAGATCAAGTCCTCCAATTATTGGAATCCAATTCGGCCACCTGCTACTGTGCTGAATTCAAATGGCCGCCAAATGTGCATACGAGCTCCGTTTTGGGTCCATGAGTACTTGATAGAAAGCTCACGGAGTCGTCTTTCCAACGGATCTACCCTCATTGCCAAATTCCTTCTTAGTGGGCTGCAATTGCAGAAACAAGGTGTTGCGTCACCTATAATGGGCCAAGTGGGGCCCATGTGGGGTGTGCCCCAACCAGGTGGAGCATGACCCTAGGGTCCCCTTGGTTGTCCTCCTACCTCCATAAATAGCTAGGTACCCATTCTGGGTTTCTTAGGTTTTGTTTAGATTAAAGTTTAGCTTCGCTACTTTGCCGTGTAATCCCGTGATCGGTTAGATCGCCAGTTTGCCCGTTACGGAATCCCAACTTATCATTTGTATTCAATTCCTATATGCAATTCAGATTGCTTTTATCTTATTCTTGCTTGTTTCTTTGATTTGCTTGTAGGAATAAGGTTGATCTGCACTGGCAAGATCAACAACCCACAGATAGGTGTATCGATCGCTAAGGCGCAACACAACAACGTCTAGTACGGTTGTAGTTGGGTCGTCAACGTTTCTCTCAAATCGTAGTTATCTACAACTCACCGAAAGATCGGGCCAACAACAGCCTTGAGTCTCTCGAGTGGAGCTCAGGGTTCATCAGGTGGTATCAGAGCTTTTTTTTGCTCAGTGTTCTCAAATTTGGTCGTTAACACTACTACCAGAAAATAGCCATACAAAAAAATTGCATCCTATACCTAGCCATATTTGTGCCATTGCATTGTTCATTCAGTTTTTGCTTTGTTGAGTTTTGCGTTGCATTGTCGAGTCATGTTGCTGGTCTTAGCGTTTAGTTCGTTTAGAGTTTCAGGTTCTGGTCACGTTTTGTACCACTGTCGTCGTCGTCGTCGTGTACTTGTTATCGTTGGGACCTACGAAAATGGAACCGCCATGCTGCCAGGGTTCTATTTTTCTAGTTTTCAGAAGTTTTTATCAGTCGGTCTTAGAGTTGCTGAGTTGCATCTGGGGTTTGCCGTCTGCATTCGCCTGTGCTTGTTCTGTTCACACAAGGAAGAGGATCTGTTGCGCGCGGTTAAGGAGAAAGGAAGGATAGCATATCGCTGTTGCGTGCGGTTAAGGAGAAAGAAAGGATAGCAGATCGGTTTCTGGACTTTGTTTCCTTCCATGCGTGATTTCCAAATTTATAGCCGATTCCCACCCCCTCGCGTGCGGCTTCACACCACCTCTACAAGCCGAGTGACTCCCCACTCTCCTCTCGATTTCAATCTACACCGTGAGTTGCTAGAGAGCTTGGTGACAAGTTTTCGATTGTCGGATTGGAGATCCGTTTGAAAAAAATGGAACCAGTATAAATTCAGCATTCCATTTTTGTATAATTTTAATTTTGGGTTCGGACTTTTGCATTTGAGTCCTTGTAAATTTTTATATTTACGTTTGAGTCCCTGTAACATCACATTGAGGTCCTTGAGTCTGTTTTTGGTAAAAAAAATCAAAAAAAGAAAGAAAAAAAAGGCAGGAAGGTGCATAAAAAAAGAAATGAAAAGCCGCACCATAAAAGAAAAGAAAAATAAAAGAAAAAAAAGAAAGAAGAAAGATGGAAAAGAGAAAAATGAGCTCTTATATTTGAGTTTGCTTTAGTATATCAGAGTGTGCTTGAGTTGTTTCTGGAGCTATCTTGTGGTATCGTCTGTGTCTAGGATCGCGTCTCTAGTACGTTCTAGCCTAGGACCAGTACGGTACTGACTTTGAATGATTATTCAATTTTGTATTATCTGATTTGAGCATTTGCTATTCCTTTGCTACATTTTAAGCCTACCCAGAGCTCCACATATTTGATTGCAGCCGTATAGCAAGTGTTTGCCAAGGTATCGATACATCCAAACTCCATTGGGATGCTTGGCCGAGTTGGTGTACGTCACCATTCCGCTTGCTTTGGTAAGAACTTGGTAAAAAGCTTGAGTGTGTGTGATATCGGAGCTTCCACTACCTAGTAGTTGATAGGAGCGTGCATATTCTTGTGTATGTTTCTTGTTTGCTATTAACCATGCCAGGATTGCGCAAGGGGATACGAGATGGTCATGCTCAACATCGGCTTCTTCACCATCGACGAGAGATGCCAACTTCTCGACAAGATGCATATGAGGTACCTGACTATAATTTTGCATGAGTTGAATCTAAGTTACCATTCTACAATGGTAAATACGATTATGTTGCTTATATTGATTGGGAGCTAGCAGTAGACAATGAATTTGATAAATATGATTTTTCTGATGCTCAAATGATTAAGGCTGCTAGTAATAAGTTTACCTCTCCTGCTCTCTTTTGGTGGAGTTATGTGAGTAACAAACCTGAAACTTGGGATGAATGCAAAACCTTGATAAGAAAACATTTTGTAAGTTCTTATTACAAATGTCTTCTTCATGAGAAATTAGAACATCTGAAACACAAGGTGAGAGTACATTCATGAATTCAAAGTTTGCATTATCTACAGTGGTCTAAAAGAATGCAATGAAAACACAATGCGTAGATTTTTCAAAGGGCTTAGTTCTGAAGTTCAGGTTATGCTTGCTAATGTGAAATATAATCATATTGGACACCTATTCATGTTTGCTCGTAGCATTGAGAGTCAGATCATATCAAATGCGAGAAAGTATGAACAATGTGATTTATCTCCTATTTCTGAATCTCCTATATCCTGATGCAATGATGATGTGCAAACATTGGAGGAGCAATCTTTTGTCTCTCCTGTTACTAACATTTTGCAGGTAATTCATCACATTCAACAAAAGAGGGAGAATGGTGTACTTGAGAAGAAAGAGGATGAAGCACCTGTGGTGTCTGAAGAAAGTTTGCAAGGTAAATTAAATGGTACTGAGATAAATAAATGTGAGTATTCTCAAGCTAAGCTACACATGTCTATTTTTCATGCTATAGTAGAGCAGCCATTAGTGGAACCAATTGCTGAGATGCCTTTGTCACAAGTTGATTTACTTGTTGTTCCTTGTGATAAAGAAGAGTCGTGTGATAATGCTTCACTTACATGTTGTTTCTAGTGTTTCTTTGTGTGCCGATTTTAAGCATGTCGTTCACATTGCTAATGAAATAGAGGAACGAGAATTGACATCTTCTTTAAATAATTCGGGCTATGTTCAGTTTGATGATTTTTGTGAGCTCGATGATTTGAAGGAGAAGGGGAGGATGATGTGACCATGGCTACCATTGATACAACCATTGCTCACATCATGGATGAACAAGATGATAACAAGATCAAGTCCTCCAATTATTGGAATCCAATTCAGCCACCTGCTACTGTATTGAATTCAAATGGCCGCCAAATGTGCATACGAGCTCCGTTTTGGGTCCATGAGTACTTGATGGAAAGCTCACGTAGTCATCTTTCCAACGGATCCAACCTCATTGCCAAATTCCTTCTCAGTGGGCTGCTATTGCAGAAATAAGGTGCTACGTCACCTATAATGGGCCAAATTGCTTGTAACTTCGTTTGGGACCCGGCCTAAGTGGGGCCCATGTGGGGTGCGCCCCAATCAGTTGGAGCACGACCCTAGGGTCCCCTTGGTCATCCTCCCACCTCCATAAATAGCTAGGTACCCCTTCAAGATTTCTTGGGTTTTGTTTAGATTAAAGTTTAGCTTTGATACTTTGCCGTGTAATCCCGTGATCGGTTAGATCGCTGGTTTGCCTGTTACGGAATCCCAACTTATCATTTGTATTCAATTCCTATCTGCAATTCAGATTGCTTTTATCTTGTTCTTGCTTGTTTATTCGATTTCCTTGCAGGAATAAGGTTGATCTGCACCGGCAAGATCAACAACCCACGGAGAGGTGTATCGATCGCTAAGGCACAACACAACAACGTTGTGTACGGTTGTAGTCAGGTCGTCAACGTTTCTCTCAAATCGTAGTTATCTACAACTCACCGAAAGATCGGGCCAACAACAGCCTTGAGTGTCTCGAGTGGAGCTCAGAGTTCATCACTAAATCATTTGCTCTAGAATTATCACGCCTAGCAACATGTCTAATAGCAAAATTATATAAATTGGCAATAATATCCAAGCATTGATCAAGATACCTATTTAATGATCCGTACAAGCATTTGTAAGCCCCGGCAACTTGTTGCACCACCAATTCCGAATCACCAAATGCTTCTATGTGTTTGGCTCCAATCATCTCCATCACTTGTAAGCCGAATAATAAAGCATCATACTCAGCTTGATTATTTGTATAATAATATTTCAAACGAACCGATGCCTCATAACACATGCCATTAGGTGAAAATAAAACTACACCTATAACTTGACCCTATTTGCAAGAAGAACCATCAAAATAAATCTTCCAAGGTATAACTTCAACTAAGCAAATCTCTTCATCATAAGCAATATCGACATGATGGTCTACTATAAAATGTACTACAATTTGGCCTTTCATAGATTTCAACGGTTCATAAGCCAAATCATATTCAATCAAAACATATGCCCACTTGCCAATTCACCCACTTAGAATTGGCCTTTGCAACATATGTCTAATAACATCGGCTTGACAAGCAACTATGCATATACTAGATAACAAATAGTGCCGCAATTTGGTACAAGCATAGTATAGACATAAACAAAGTCTCTCTATAAAGACATACCACATTTCAGCATCCAAAAGACGGGACTCGGATTCAGTAACATCGCTATGGCATGGCACGGTGTGACATTGGAGAAATCTGGAGCGTTGAAATCTGATCGAACGGTCCGCTGCGCCAGCCCACCTGCAGCCTCCGTTTTCAACCCAAGATCTCCGTTCCTGCCGCCCGACGCCCCAATCCCGCGGCTCGCCTCAATCCACACGCTCCACTCCCGCCGCCCCGCACGCGCCCGCACCGGACGCCGGGCCGTCGCCGCGAATAGGGAGGCGGCCACCGCCGCGCGAGCTGGGAGCAGGGCTGCCGGCGTAGAGGTCCCAGACGGCGACCAGCGGAGAGCAAGGCAGCCGCCTTGTCACTTCGTCTCCCGTGCCCACGTCAGCCCGCCACCGCGCCAGGCCGGAGAGACGCCAGGCTGTCGTGCCGCCGCGAGTGGGGAGGGGACCGGGTGACCGTGTCGTCGCTTCGCCTCCCTCGCCCGCGTTTGGCCGCCGCCGCGAACTAGATGGGAGCCGGCAAGGCGCCGCTCCGCCGCAAGTGGGGAGGGGACCAGGCGGCAGCCGTGCGAGGCCAGGGCCGGGGCCCTGCCCTGCCACCGTCATCCTTGGCGATGGAGGCAGCCGGCCGTCGGGGTGCCGATGGAGGCGATGGGATTTCATGCTGTTTAGCTATTTGTTTTCCAAAATTGTTGTTTAGGTGTTTGTTCTCTATCTCCAAGATTGCAGCAGCAGTAGTTTAGCTGTTTGTCCTTCTGCTTCATGGTGTACCTGAACCTGATTACCTTAGGCTGTGCATTGTCCTGAAACAATAATTTGTTGAGGTTGCACTGTGTTAACCATTGTGGTTGATAAGGAAGTTGTCATTGCTGCTGGGAGAATGATTCTGTAATTTTTTTGTGAGCAGCAACACCTGGGAAAATTGAGAGATTGGTTTGGTTGTATGACCTATGCTGTAATTTGAATGAATCAATGGATGAATAAATCAGTAACTTGTGTGATGTTATTTTCTGAAAAATTTGACAGCATGTCCCCATAATTGGTGGATGGATTGAGACAACACAGAAAGAGATAAACAGCCATATAGAAGTTGATAAACAGCCATATAGAAACTTGGAGCATTCAGACATCACAGATAGCATTAAGACATCTCTCATATAACATTCAGCCCATTTCTCTTTCACCTTGTAAATGCTATCTAACCATGTTTGCTTATGAACTTTGGATCTCATAATCTGAAATGCCTCTTCAAATGATGCCTCATCTTCATGGCCAAACATACAAGCACTAAAATCAGAGAGAACATGCGATTCCTCTTCACCTTCGTCTTCCTCTTCACCTTCATCTTCCTCTTTACCCTTCACTGGAGATAAATGCTTCACAGCATTCTGCATTATGTGAAAGGTGCAGAGACCATGATATGATTCTGTGAATACTATCTTTATGGCTTTTCCTATTGCTGCATCTTGATCCGTGTAAATTGTTTTAGGTTGCTTTCCATTATGTGCAGGTAGAAAAGTCTCAAACAACCATGTAAATGATGCTTCTGTTTCATCAAATAGAAGTGCAGCACCAAAAATAGTGGTTTCTCTAAACTGATTGAGCCCAAGAAAAACACCGAATGGCCTATATTCTTTGTTTGTGCCAAAAGTTGTGTCAAATGTGACAACACTCACTTGCAATCCTCCTCTGCAGATGCTTGGCTCACTCTGGCAGCCCTCCTCCCCGAAATCTTGGCGGCAGGGCAGGGGCCTCGGCCCCCGGCCTCACGGCGGCCGGCCTACCTCCCCAATCACGGCGAGGGGCACGCCTGCCTCCCACCTATCCGGTGGCGACGGCGGGGCAGGCGCTCTGGCCCCGGCCTCGGCTGGTTGGCGTGCTGCACTTCCCCGGCGCCGGCAACCCTGCTCCAAGCGGGATTGGGACCTTCGCGGGATTGGAACTCTGCCGGCAGCCCTGCTCCGGTGCGGGATTGGGACCTCCGCAGGACCGGGCGCGTGCGGGACGGCAGGACTGGAGCGCGCGTGTGGGATTTGGGCGAGCCGCGGGATTGGGCATTGGGCGGCAGGAAACGGAGCGCTTGGGGGTGAAAATGGAGGCTGCAGGTGGGCCGGCGCAGCGGACCGTTCGATCAGATTTCAACGCTCCAGATTGCTCCAATGTCACACTGTGCCATGCCATAGCGATGTCACCGAATCCGAGTCCCAAAAGACGGATATGTAATGATATATTCCTTACCATCTTCCTCTTGTGTCAAAACAGCACCAATGACTTTGTCTTCGGAGGCAATATATAACCGAAACGGTATTCCGGCTTTAGGCGCCCGCACCACGGGTGGAGTAGACAAATACCTTTTCAATTCCTCAAACGCCTCTTGTTGTTTTGCCCCCAAGTAAAATTGGCTTCTTTTTTCAAGCGAAGTATAGGGACAAAAGCATCGATTTTACCAGCTAGGTTAGATATAAATCTCCTCAAATAATTCACCTTACCTAGTAACTTTTGCACCTCTTTCTTGCATGTCGGCGCTTTGAAATCACGAATCTTTTCTATCTTCTTAGGATCAATCTCAACTCCTCTCTCATGCACCATAAACCTTAAGATCCTCCCTGCCGACATACCAAAAGCACACATGAGTAGGTTCACGTTCAAACCATACCGGCGCATCCTTTCAAAAGCTAACTTCAAATCGGCTATATGTCCCTCCATACCATCCGATTTGACAACAATATCATCAATATAGACTTCTAAGATGATACCTAGAAAATCATGGAAAATCAAATTCATTACCCTTTGATATGTTGCACAGGCGTTCTTTAATCCAAAAGTCATAACCACCCACTGAAATAAACCAACAAATCCCGGGCACCTAAAAGCCGTCTTGTACATATCCTCCTACGCCATAAAGATTTGATTGTAGCCGGCATTACCATCCAAAAAGCTAATCACCTGATGACCCGAGGTATCATTAATCATTATGTCAGCTATAGGCATAGGATATTCATCTTTTGGAGTAGCTTTATTTAAATCTCTAAAGTCTATGCAAACTCTAATCTTACCACTCCCTTTCTTCTCCACCGGGACTATACTAGATACCCACTCCGCATAACGACATGGCCTAATAAACCCCGCTTTCAATAACCGATAAATCTCCTCCTTGACCCGGTCATATAACAAAGGATTGAAACGATAAGGTGCTTGTTTATAAGGCCTAAAACCCGGTTTAATTGGAAGCTGATGTTCGACAAGACCACGGCTAAGACCTGGCATCTCATGATACTCTCATTCGAAGCAATCAACATACTCCTTAAGTAGCTCGATTATTTTAACCTTATAATCGGCTGTCATGTTTTTGTTTACAAAAGTCGGCCTTGGCTTAGTTCCATCACCTATGTCTATTTCCTCCAATGGATCGGCCGATGTAAACCCTTGACCAACCTTTTCTACTTCGTCAAAATCTTCAATAGTTTCACCAATATCGTTCTTTGTAGATCGATATTCTTGCACCCTTTTTTGCAACCACTCTAAATTAGCTTCTTTACTCATTACATAAAGTGATATGGCCTTGTCGTGCTATGTTAGCCGGCTTTACAGAAATAGGTACAAATTTGCCATCAGAAACACTAATGAAATCATAGCTAGAAAGATCCATCCCCGATAAGCATTGAATATTACCGTGACGCCACTCAAATGTTGCATCGGCCATTGCAACCTCGGCCGATGTATCCGCTTGAACAATCTCAACATCATCGTCGTCCCATTGAATTAAACATTGATCCAAGGTAGAAGGCGCACAATAATTGGCATGGATCCAACAACGACCCAAAATAACATTGTAGTTACCTTGCACATAGACGATGAAGAAAGCGGTTGGACGTCTTGTTTCCCACGATAAGCTCCACCGAAAAGATACCTTTTCGCCTCCGTTGGTCTTCTTTAGCTCATCATCTCCACGCCCCAACTTCTTGAACAACGAGTACGGCATCAAATTCACGGCGGCACCTCCATCCACCAACATCCTAGAGACCGGCTTCCCATCAATATGACCTTTGAGATAAATAGGCTTCATATGACAGTTTGACTCATCGGGCTTCTCAAAAACCGCATCTTTAGGACCTAGTGAAAATTGAGC